TTTAGGGTATAGGGTTTAGGGCTTCAAAGGTGCTTTAAAGGCTGTCAAAAGGTTCTTGAAAGGCCTTAAAGTTTCAAAGGATGGTAAAGCATGCTGGTTAAGAGTTTCCAAGATGGCGTCACGCGGTGTTTGGAGAGGCTAAACCCTAAGAGGTTCAGGGTTAAGGGTTCTGTGAAGGGTTCTAGAGGATTTTGGAGGAGCTTTTGGCCGATCGATGCTGTTTCACAAGGCAATCTTGGTTGGTTTGTAGCGGTCGTTGCATAGCTTTTTAAATTAACAAATCTGAGAACCTTGTTGTGTGGTTGCGACTTGGCTTTTGTTGTTTTATGAACTTCCACAGGACCTCTTGGTTTCATTTACAGGTATGCTATAGGGTATCAAGGGATCTGCGTGAACTTCTTGAGATTTTAAAGGAGTGGTTGACGACAGCTTGTATGGGTTGATTCAGGGTTTAGGGTTTTGGAGACTAACGAGAAAGCACACACAAAAAGTTTAGGGTTCAGGATTTAGCGTCCAAAACCGTAGACCCAGATTGAAACGAACACTCGTAGACACCGTACGAACATCCCTGCATACCAGCCCAACAACTCTACACAAGGAGCAAAAGCACTTTCACTCGGTATGCGAAACCTTAGCAATCCAAAGAGCCTCAGACCCCTAAAGGCGTCCTTGAACCCCTTAAACCCTAAAACCCTAAAACCCTAAACCCTAAATCCTGGAAGGACTATTCAAAGGTGACTTCGAGGGCCCCGACGCTGCAGCGTCCCCAGCAACCGAGTGCGGAGCTCTGTCGCCAGCGACTCTATGGCACCTCTCCGGCTTCTAAGGGTCCTAAAAAGGATTCCCAAAAGAGTTTAAGGTTTAGGGTTTCGGGCTGAGGGTTTCGGGTTCCAAGAAGGATTCCCAAAAAGGCTCCTTTAAAACGTCCATCAGGGTGTCGGGCGTCTTTTGCTTAAGATGCTTAGGTGCCTGTTACCAACTGCGTACGATCAGAGGCCTCCGACTGGAAGCAGGCATGTGTGGTTTGGGTTTGGGGTTTAGGGTTTAGGGTTTGGGGTTTAGGGTTCAGGGTTCAGGGTTTAGGGTTTAGGGTTGAGCCCTAAGCCCTTACTCTGAAAGAAGGGGCTACTGGGGAATCTAGTGCTTAAGGAGGAGTGGGGAGGGCGCAGGGAGGGCAGAGCAAGGGATGAAGTCCTGGCGGAAGATGTTCAGCCTTCTCGGCTTTAGGGGTTAGGGGTTTAGGGTTTGGGTTTGGGTTTAGGGTTTAGGGTTTAGGGTTTAGGGTTTAGGGTTTAGGGTTTAGGGTTTAGGGCTTTGTTTTGTAACCCACCCAAAAGTTGGAAATCGGATTATGGACATGTAGTGCTGGTCTTCCCAATGCCTTCACTCTTAAGGATTGATGCTATTGGGTTTCCAACTTTTGGGCTAACCCAAACCCCCTCACTCCTCACATAACTGGAGCAGGGTTCTTAGTCGATAACCCTCAAAAAACCGAGGAAGAAGCCACTCCATACCCCAGACAAAACCCTAAACCCTAAAACCCTAAACCCTAACCCCCAAAACGTAAACCCCTAAACCCTAAACCAACCGAAAAGCTCAAGCTTCCCAGACCCTAGAGCATGAATTCTGACAAACAGACCCTAGTATTCGGTTTTGAAGGAGACCCCAGAATAACGAGGGCAAAAGGGTACTGCTGGGGAACCTTCTGCAGCACAAACCCGGGGAGCCCGACCCCCCGTCGTTCAAGGAACAGGGTTTAGGGTTTAGGGTTTAGGGTTTAGGTACTGCTGGTGGTATAAATCCTGCATTGCCTTGAGGACCCTAAACTATGGGAATTATGGTATATTCGTTACTATGGGTAATGCAGGATTTATATTTTCAACCATAGGGCTTCGTATTGTGACGAAATGAATGGTCCTTAACACTTAACACCCCCCCCCCTTTACCCTGAACTCTAAACTAAAGAGTACGGGGCTCTCTGGGAGCCCACCAAATCTTCGTTGAAGGTTTAGGGTGTAGGGTTTAGGGTTTAGGAACCCTAAACTAAACCCTCAACCCTAAACCCGAAAAAAAAACAAAGGCATCCTTCTTCCTACCGTGCAACTGCAGCGAGAAGAGCCCGAAGCCCGGCAACTCCAAATGCCTTCCCTGGGAAACCTAACCCTTAAACCGTCAACATTGAGAAACCTCTTGTCAGGGCTCCTTAACAGGATTTTCTGATGTAAACCCTTCAAAAAACAAACTAGGTATTTTGTGAGGTAAACGCCCAACTCGAACCCGCGAAGCCCTTTACGAAGAAAGACCCTTAGAACCCTACGCCCTAAACCCTAAACCTTAAACCCTCAACCCCAAACCCTGAACCATCACTTTCGATCAGTAATGTAGGGGCCTTAATCATTAGGCTAGGGTTTCGGGGGTCGATTGTACGATGCTTATAATAAGGCAACCCCAATAGAATATAGGTAATTATTGAGGCCCGCCTAAACCCTAAACCCTAACCCTGCCCTTCTAAATCCTTCCTAGAAGAGGTAAAGATCCCTTCAGAGGATCCCCCCAACCCACCCACGATTCCAGATCTTCCAAAGCCCCCTTAATTCAGGAAAAAAACCTTATACGTATAGTGGGATCCCCAATATCACTTAAGTACATCGTATATTCCATGAATAATCCCTTCCCCCTAATATTAA